TTGCCCTGAAATTCGTATTTTCATTTTCTGTTTTGGTTGGGTTTCAGGCACAGGATTTTAGGACGCAAGGGACGCAGATGAGGAGAAAAATGTGGCTTCAGAATATGAAGATTAAATTGATCGTGTTGGGTATCATTGTAGCTTTGATTCTCATCATCGTTTTGTCTGTGTGCCGCGGTTTCAACTGTTGATACCAAAGGCTCGTAATTTCGATCTTTTGTATAGGCAGTCTACCGAGCATTTACCTTGGAAAATAGTTTGTTTACGTGCAATTTCTTGCTCGACACTTCGATTTCTTTATTGTCACTTATGTTTCCTATTGTAAGGTGCATTTTGTAGGAATTTATTTAAAAGACTTGCTTTTCAATTGTAATTGAACTTTGAAGGTTTTTCGAATTGCCATTAAACTTACAAAAAATGTTATTTTATCATTACTTCGTCACTTGCCATTTTAAAATTTAACAGATTAGATGACCGATGGGATAAAGATTATGATAAATTCACATTATTAAGCACGCCTCAAGAAATATAGCATCGCCTCTATCTATATATGACACATACTTCGTTGCCATAGATCTTAATCCATGATTACGAGATTGTTAAAGATATATAGACACTACTGAAGATCTAATTAATTACGACTCAATACATTTCGATTTAGGACCTACCTACCTGTTGCTTTCGACCACTTTTGATGACTTGTGCTGCCATCCCAGTGAACTACCACCAACATCGATCTCGAGATGGTGATATGAAGTTGTTGCGACCACCGCCACCTCCTCCATTTCTGTCTTCCAAAGGCTAGCATCACCTCTGCCACTGCGATTGAGCGAATGATCCATTTCAGATTTGAAATTGTATTCTTATCGCCGCCCTCCACCTCCCTACTCTCTTTTAAAACATGGCACCACTATTGCTACCGCCCACACCACTTCTTCCCCGTCCATTTGTGAATCCGAGAGTCGACCTGAATCTAGATTAAGATCTAGCTCTAGATCTAAATCAAGTGATGTTGGCAGGGGCGATGATGGTGTAACTTGATATGTCACTTGAATATAATAATATGTTACCGGGCGAATTTGAATTGTGAATGAAGATAGCATATCATTGAGAGTATAGAAAATAGTGTTGGCTGGGAAAACAAACGGGGATACTTGAGATCGGGGAAATTCGACCTGATTGGTTTGTGACGATGATTAGCATTTTGATGGATTTAAGTATTTAACACATCAATACATATATTATCCTAAAATTTGGGAGAAATTTTAATCAAGATTTTAATCAAAATTCTAGCCGTTAACTATCAAATCAGCCACCATTTTGACTTTCTCTCTCACAGGTGGGGCCCACAGGTTGAGTATAACGACTATAATTTTGATTAAAATCCCACAAAAATTGCTCCCAAACATGCTCATATTACTATGCAGGTAATACGAAGTTACCCTAAAATGTTACAAAAAATTAATTATTTCAATGTTACATTACAAGTAACAGTAACAATTATATTATCAAAACATGTAACCTGTAAAAATTGTTATCTTATAATGAAATATTGATTCTAAATGACAACTAGATACTTTTCCAAATATGTAAAATGAGAAAATATTAATTTTTAATGAAAATGAATGGCGCGATAGAATACGACTCGTGTTTGTAAGTTTTTTTTAACCTTCATCGTGTTTGTAATGTTATTTTTCATCGGCCGCTCTATCTCATTCCATTCAAAAATTAATGATTTCGACGGTGTAAGATACAAAATAGTTAATTTTTCGAACATTTTAGAGTGATGTACGAGGGATAGTGACGGATGGGGAAAAAAAAACACACAACTATTTTACAAATATAATAATTTAACCTAATTATACCCTCGTTTCGTATGAATTAAAATTTTAGTTAAGTTAGCAATTAATTATAGTTACATATTTTATAAGCTCCACAACCCTTCAATTATATATTTTATCAATTTTTATTAAATTTTATTAAAAATCTAATTTTAATCAAAATATATTAAAAAAAAAAAATTATTCTTCGTCCGCCCTTCAACACCCCAAGTATATTGTCTTTCATTATATTAATAAAATGGATGGTACTATTTATTTAAAAAAAAAAGGAAAATGAAGAAGGGTAATATAGCCATTTCTCAAAAGTGCAATGGAAAAAGATAGTCATCACTCGTTGCCGCCTCTACGCCTCTCTCGCTTCTCCATTTCCCGCTAAAATTCACATCCTCTTTGGCTCTTTCTCTCTCACAAATTAACACGCAGTTCACACACAGAGCAATGGACATGGATATTCCCGATCTTGAAGAGCTGGAATGGCTTGAATCCCACACAGCTCATTACGAAGAAGAATTTGAAGAAGACGATTTAGATCTTTAGCTTCGTTAAAGTGGGGGATCCTCACCCGTACCCCGAAACCCCTCAGAAAAACCCACACTTTCACTGCCATCGAAGCCCTCGCCATCCAAACCCAGTTCAATACTCACTAACAATGCCAAAAAACGGTTCCGATCTAACATCTCCGAATTGCTTGGAGAAAATGAAGTGGACCCGATTGAAAACAAGAGAGGCAGAACTGAGGAAGAATCCCAAAATAACGGTGGATCAGGAATTTTGTTGGATGATAATGAAAACGAGATTGCGGAAAATGAAAATGTTGGTGCCAGTATAAATGATGGAAGGAGGGATGGGGATGAGGAGTGGTTGAGATACTCACCGCCCATGGTTGTGGGGGAAGAGAGGGTGACTGTAGAGGAAAGAGAGGAGATAATATTGTCGAGATTTGCGACAGAAATAGAAGGAGATTGTGTGCCAGTTACCGGGTTGGATGGGGAGAGGGTCTACGCGAAGATATGTAGAGGGGTGATGGATGAAGAGGAGAGAATGAAGAAACTCAGTGTTAAAGGAGATTCTAACGGTGAGATTCAATTGTAAATTTTGTTGCTTGTCTGAATTTTTTACTATCTGCATGTTTAATTCCTTTCTAGTTCGAGAGTATAATTTGTTTGGTTGCTTCTTTAGGCTTCCGTGGACAATCTTTGTGAATATTTGAATAGCTATTAAATTCATTTGGTTCTATCCTTTTGAATGAATGGATTTCTCTATCTCGATTTTTTTCATTTCAATTCTTTTCTTTTAACACTTTTGGAACTTGGCTTTAGTTTTTGATAACGTGCATTATGATGCCCTGGTTTCTATTGAAATATCTTATGCTGCATGTTTTTAGTACCATTAACATTTCAACGTGAGCTATATTCTAAAACTTACACTTACTTTCTTAGTTTATATATATATCAATTTCATTCAAAAACACCCTATCCTGAACCAAATGGGCGTGTTATGGAGTGCTCAACTTTGCAAATTAGCGGTAGAGATGTTGTACAAGTAGTTTAGAATACCTCAAATTACATGAGATGCTACAGAGTATTTGTTGGGATTTGATGGGCAGTTGTTATTAGCAGTAAGGCTGTATGTCTCTTTTCTGTATTTCGTTTTAAGGTTTAATAATAAAACTTAGTGCTACCGTTACTTTTCCTAGTAAGATAATTTTTGCCATGTTTTATGATACCTCTTTGCGAAGTTGTCTACATATTGCACTTGTGCAAATGAAACTCAAGCACATATCTTTTGAAAACCTATCTTTGCCCATACTTCATCTTTAGACAAATTTCCAGTGATTTTCCTTCTATATACAGAAATTCTGAATTTGTATTACCCATCAATCGCAATTTTCTTTACTGGATGTAGAAAGTAACAACGTAACCGCTCTGCATGCTTCTGAACTACTCTTTGTTGGAAAACTTAATATTTTAGGACATCGATGAAAATGATTATATCGAAATTGCAGGGCTCATTCCAGAATCTGTCAGGGTTCTGATGCAAAAGGTAGAGCAGGATGAATTTACGAAGGTACTCTTCAGATTGTGTAATGTCTTGTTCTTTAGAAATGCTGAACCAATATTAGAGCTTGTTTGGGAGGAATTTTAATCCAATTAAAATTGAAAATATAGCCGTTATTGGTCTCAATCGTCTAATAATAGTCAACAATAACGGCTAGTTTTTCAATTTTAATCTCTACCAAACAAGTTCTTAGTCATATATTAAATGGCATTCTGAAAAGAAGAGAAGAGGAGAACAAAGAAATATTTATAATGTATTTATTTCTGTCACTCATAAATGAGCAACTTTAGACTTCCTGTCTTTCTTCTTTCTGCTACTTTTCATACTCAGGCATTTCTTTTGGGGGTAATTCAGTTTTTTTTTTTTTACCCATGTAATAACTTATATGTGCTGAATTCTTTTCCTTCTGTTTTTCCTTTCTCACATAATGAAACTAAAACTAGGTTAAAATAAAATTGGATTTTTCTTTAATATGGAGGAAGCATGCTGATGTGCCTCACTAAAGTGTTGCAAGTGGCCCAAATTTTTTTTTGCAGTTTATTTCCATTTTAGTTTTACTGCCGCGGATTCATTTTGTAACAGGTTTTTCCATAGTTGTTTTATATAATCTATTGATATACTCTCTAGCTAAAAAATTTGGCAGGTAAAGCTGAATCAGCTTCTTACTAAGCTCGTTTTGAATAACTAACAATCGATTAATCTGTATACCCATGTAAAGATTTTTTAAAAAATGGAAGAATCCACGTCGTGTTTGATAGACTGCTGATGCCAATTGATATCAAAATGGATAATGATCTTTTCAAGTTTTAGCTTCATGAAGTTGTGAAAGGCCCCAACTTAGATTTTGTTTCAAGAAATTCTATACATATTTGTTTTGCATAAGATATTGTTCCTCCCTCAAATTTTGTCATGTCATGTTATTGAAGGTTTTGCAAGCAAGTGTTGAAGGTCAGACTGATGTAGTTACTCCAAAAGTACCAGCAGTTAGTGAGCAACTTTGGGTGGACAAATATGCTCCAAGTTCATTTACAGAGCTTCTCAGTGACGAACAGACAAATCGTGAGGTATGGAACGAGCATGAAAGAATTAACAATACTTCTTTATCTTTTGAGCTGTTCTACTGGATTCGTCTGGCTTTTTCTTTAATTCTCTAAGATTTATTGCTGTTTCTTCTTTAGGTTTTTACTACTCCTGTATTTCTAGCTTCACCAGTCTTATCTTTACTTTGGCTTTTTGTAGGTCCTTTTGTGGTTGAAACAATGGGATTCCTCTGTTTTTGGATCTGAAATTAAGAGCACAGGAGATGAAGTTTTGTCTGCTTTGAGACGACATTCATCAGGAGTTCAACATGTAAAACGTTCTACCAACAGTTCTTTTGCCAGCAATAGAGAACCCAGATTTATTAGAGAAAATGTAAGAGCTCATAACAAGATGGATGAAGAAAAGAGCGAGTCACCCGGGTTTCATGAGGCATGGGACAAGAAGCGCAAGCAATTTGGTCCACCCGAACAGAAGGTCAGTTAATACTGACTTTCCCATGCATTCATCCTCGTGGTCGTCCCATAGCGTTAACCTGGAATTGTTATGCTTAACTATGCTGGTTTATGATTCTTTTCTTAGTGGATCTATAGAATGGTACTATCTATGCTTCATGCTACTGATTGTTTATCAGTAGGACAAAGTATCTATAACAGTATTAACCTGGAACCAATGTTATTTATAGCTATGCTGATTTATGAGTTTTTTCAATAAGCTCTATAGAATGGTCAGCGTATCTATGCTTCTTGGTACTGATTGTTTAGCAGTAGGTCAAAATATCTATAAGATGAATGTATAAAAAATGAGGACGTTATTTGGATGTGTTGTGATTTTAGAATGGATAAAATATAAAGCAAGGTGATTATCCAACAAGTAGATGTTGCATCATTTGACAATACATCAAG